TGTATCTGCTTTGCTATCTGTTCCCACACGCGTCGCTGCCAAGCCCCCCAGCCACGGGACTGTGCTGTTGTGTGGTTGTTTCCTCAGTCTCATTTTGCTCTAATGCCTAAGGAAAAAACAAAACAAAAAAGCCATGCTGCATCTTTAGCATTCGGCAATTTTTTTGTCCTGAAGTCAGGGAAAATTTTGCCTTGTTTGTCCAGTGTAAACCTCCTGTTGGTGAGCGTTTGAAAGCTATTTTTGTATTCCTCCCCATGCTTCTGCTTTACCTGGGGAGCACCCCAGAGCCCTGGAGGGACCTAAATCTGCTATCACAACACCAGTCATTAAAAACACACTTGGGAGAGAACACCGGTATTAAAGGGGCTGGACCTGGGGCACACGGGGCCTGTTTTTCCAAGGGGGCTGAGCCAACGCTGAGCAGAGGATCTTTACCTCCCCCCAAGGAATGCCAGCTGCTTCTCTGCAAATGCAGGATGTGCTGCTGGAGCCCAGGAAGGTGCCCTGAGACAGCCACGTTTGTCATCTCCTCCACCAGCATGAACCTGGGCTTGCAATTAACGCAGCAAGACCTGGCCTGGCCAGACAGCGAGGCCAGGCAGCGTGCACTGCACCCTGCAAAAGGCATCTGTGGCTGGGACATGCTCCTTGCACCCCGAACCCTGCTCATCCTGAGTCTTATCTAGAAAAAAAAGTGATTTTCAAGTGGTTTCTGCCTTGGCATGGGGCAAGAAATCCTGCAGGAAGCTCGTTTCCTCCAGCCGCGGGGTGCTCCGTGAGGAGCTGGGGCTGTTCGGTTTCACAGAGGCTAACGAGAGGCGAAAGACCACAGCGTGTCCTGCCAGGCCAGATAGAAAGATTGCGAAGGCCGGTGGCACTGCTCGGCAGCCTGCCATTAGAAATAACTCTTCAAAAATAGCAGCGTGCTAATCTCAGGAACCTGCTGGTATTGTCAATGACATTAATGAAGTGTTTCGAAAACCAGAACAAATGCCTTGGCTTTCTGGGGCTGTGCTGCCCCTTGTAATTTTCCACAACAGCCTTCCAAGAGTCCTCACTGTCTTCTTCCCTCTCATCCCCATCCTTCTCTCAAGCTCCCTCTGGGCTCTCTTCCAGTCCCTGAGGTCCCTCTGGAGCTGCTGCCTCCTCCTCACACATCTCCAGTGGGTCCCCCACAAAGCACACAACGATGCACAGCCTGGAAGGAGCCTTGTGGTTCGAGGCTCTGAGCACCCTGCCGTCACACCCCGACACGCTGGTGGAGGGCAGCAGGACCCCTTGGAACAAGGAGGCACCACGCTGCCCTGCCCTGCCCGCACAGAGCCCTGCGCCCCTCAGGTACCATCCATCACACCTCAAATTGACTCAGGTGGCACAGCCAAATGCCTGTCCGTCTCCTCCTCTGTTTGCAGCTCTTTCTTGGCAGCTTTCTCACCACCTCCTTCCTTCTGTGGCAATCCTGTGCCAACCTCGCTGTCCGTGCTCGTTGCATGCTCAGAGGATGAGGTGGTGCAACCCCAACTCCGTTTGAGCCTCACCTTATGTGGTTTTGCCTTGCAGGGGCAACAGCAAGTCACTCGGACACCTGGTTTGGTCTGAAAGGCCAAGAACGTCAATAGGGTTCTCACTCCCTTCGCTGAAAGGAGCGGTTTTGGTAGGACTCCCATAAAAATAATGCCTTAAGCTCGGCGCCCCCTCTCCTGGTAGCTGACGAGCAGTGCACACAGGCCCTGCCAGGCCACGGCCTCCTCATGGTCCTTTGTCCAAACTCCACCAGCAGCTCCTGGGAAAACCCCAAATGCACACTTCAGCCCTGCTGGTGTCTCTGAAGCAGGACAGCACCAACCACACATAAAGCTTCAACCCAACCACGTACCCAACACAGGCCGAGTTAACAATATTGCTTGGGCAAAGAACACAAGCGTGAACCGTCCAGTTTCATTGCCCTGATTCGTTGTGGAAGCATTTAGTGCTGAAGAAATTAAATCATTTGTGCACATGGGGTCAGAGGGCATGATAAACCCAAACTGGCACGGCTTCTTTCAAAAGCAGAATCAGACTTGAATCACATTGCGTGGTCAGCATGAAACAAAGAAAAAAGAAAAAAAAAAACATGCTATATCCACTGGAGATCAGCTCCCAAAGCCAGTCCTGCAAAGCCAAACCATCAGCCGTAAGCTGCCGCTCATTCCTCGCTCGTGTGGCACGATGCAGTCACAGCAGCCTGTCATCCTTCCTCCAGTTTGTGTGACGTCCCCCTGACAGCTCAGCTCAGCATTTCGTGATCAGGCTGCCATCGACTCTGGTAGAAGTCGTTCTGAGTTGGAGCAATCCGGTGCCAGAGCAGGAACACAGGCTCAGCTTGGCCACCTGCCTGCAGGGCCAACTGGCTCCTTAGGTAGGAGAGGAGGCTGGAGAGCAGGGAAAGGACTTACCTTACATTTAATCAGGTACGTGGCAGCCCTGAAGAAGCTTAGCAGTAGGGCTTTAGTTGACTGAGCAAGGAAAAGAGGGTGGTTTCTGAAAAGGGGAATCTTTTAGCTCTGTCAAGCACTTATCACGCAACCATCTGAGCTCTGGCACACACTGCAGAGCTGTGAAAATCTGGCTGGCAGATGAGAAAACACACTCCAGTAAGGGAACGTTATCTTCATTTGTCAGACAAGGAAACTGAGGCACAGAGCAGTTGTGAGTCACCCACTGCCAGGCAGGGAGGCAGTGCTAGATAGATAGCTGGACTTTTAAATGAAGCCACGACTTCCTGAGCCATATGATGTGCTCCCAGACAATGTGTTTTCATAAAAAGCACGTCTGGGGACAGAAGCAGCTCTGTGTGAAGAAAGCATTCACCATTGTCCCTTTGCTGGATTACATCACCCTCTGTTTAGCAAGCGGTTCAATTAAAATTTTGATTGAAAGCTCTTATAAAAGCTGGTCACCAAAAATGGCCGGAAAATCACCGATCAAAGTCAAAAAGGCTCACGCTCTTAACTCAGCTCAGTGCCACTGTCTCCCTGATAAAAACAGTATGTGATGTTAAAGTGTGCCCGTTCTCGAAACATTTCTTACTGCCACTTCTGGATGCTCTTGGGCTGAACGACTACACCTATAGCTTCTGTGCTGGCCGACACAATCGACAGCTTTTTTCCACCAACTAAAAATAAATTGAAGCCAAAGGACAAATTGAGATATCATGGCAAAGGGAGCCGAAGAAGAAAAGTGAACATTTTATGAAACAATTTGGATAGGTGAGAAAGTTTGCACACGCACAGTTGCAAAGCTCTTTTTTCTTTTAGCTGCATCAAACATCCATGGCTGTGTCACCTGCTTGAAAGAGTACACGGAGGAGAGAAATAAAAGCAGCTAAATGTTCATGTGAAACTTCAGTAAAGAAAGCTTTTCAGCTTCAGTAACCATTCCAACAGGAGTTGGGGAAGCTCGAGTGCCCCGGTACTGCGCAGTGTCAGCGCACACAGAGCTCCCTCTGTTCACCAGGCTCGCAGCCCAGCACTGGCACAGATTGCCCGGGGAGGCTGCGGGCTGGGCAGCAGAGGCAGCTTCTGAGGGCCTGGCTGGCCAAACCTCCCCCTGGGATGGGTCAGGCAGGACTAACCCTCACCTCGGGAAAGGACTGATCCATGGCAGCTCACAGGTCTTTGAAAACAGTCACCAAAACCCAATGAAACATTCTTATGTGAACACCCCACAGCCAGCATCCCAAATTTCACCTGTTTAAATAGCAATGAAAACCATTGTGGCAATACTGTAAAATTTGTCTGTGAACAATTTTGTGATAAACTTCAGTAGCCTTGCAGTTCCTGAGGGACATGGGAAGCAATGACACTTAGAAGTTCTTTTCATACCTCGTTTGTATGGCTCTGTAATGGGGATTTATTGTTCCATTCTGATAATACAGAAGTTTAAATTCCTCCAACATAGCTTGCTGCTGTGCAATCACAAAGGACAGTTTGTGTTCATAAAATTACAGAGCAGTCTTTTGTTAGTTTTGCTGAAGCCTTTTCAGAAGCAGTGGGTGTCTAGAGTTACAACAAAGTATTTCCAGACAGAATAAAGTATTCCAGCAAGTAAGAATTAAAATAAACAAAAAATCAACAGAACATTAACTCTACTAATGAAATATGGCATTTTAAAATCATATATATTCTTAAAGATACTTTAAAAATAGATATTTTTAAAGTATCTTATGGTGTTTATTACCAAACACTTGGGGTTACTGAAAGTGACATTGCCTACTTACAAAAAGCCAGTGGCATTAAGGACCACTTCAGGTAAAAGGGATTTTTTCTCCCCACTCTGAAACTGGCTGCACAAAACATTGGCAAGTGTAAACCATCTGCTTGGATTTTGTTCCCAGCAAGAACAAAGAAAAACGCTCTTACAAATGCAGGAGAATGAGTCTGGATAGTTACCAAAACCAGCCCAGAAACCGAGGAACAACTCATTCGGGGTATAAACCGACTAAATCTCAAAGGCACCATCTTCTTAAAATAATCTTTCTGAATCTCAAATACTTTTCATCACAGATGGAGTTGAACTTGCTTCCCTTGCAGCTGAAGCACTGACTGGGGCTTTGACACATCGCTTGAAGCCTGTGCTACAACACTTGGAGCAGCAGGGTGTGAACACAGGGACAGCCAACCCCTACCTGCTGCCCGCTGCTCTGCTGCGGAGTTGAGGTAACACGGAATCACCTCCATCCACCTCCTGTTTCATAAAAACGTAGATTTGCAAAATCAATAGCTTGTATCAGGCTGGCAGTGTCCCTGTCAAGACTTGAACAAACTCCTAACGCCCTTGTTAGTGAGTAACAACTTCTGTTCCTGCCTGACTGCCCGAATACAGCTCCCAGCCACCTTACCTAAAAAAGAACAGGAATGATACGAGCAGAGCTGCAATGTCCCTCACGGCCATTTTGCAGAGACCTGCACTTCCCTATCTGTGACTCGGTTTAGTGCTGCAGGACAATTAACAGTGGACACTTTACATGAAGAAAAATGTATAAAAATATTTATTCAGCATAATAATCCAGAAGTAGAAAATACACAAGTGATACAATAAAATGTCTAAGCTACTTCGTGCCATTAATTGCAGGAACATTCTTGCCCATATTTGATGTACTCTGTCAGGCACAGCCTCCAGTCAGCCTCCTGCAGCAGGACAGCCAGCCCTGCGCTGCTCAGGCAGGTGCCCAGGTGCTTGTGAAGCCCAGATCTCCTCTTGCAGCCTCCACAGGCAGAGCTCTCACTCCTCTGGCCCACAGAACGACCACACACTGTGTTTGAGATCTCCAGTTTGAAATATCTGATACCCAGGCACATATGCAAGTACAGAAACAACTCCTGCAAGACCTGGCACATCAAATCCTGAAGGTTTTGTGTCAGGACTGCCGCCACCTCCCAGTGATTCCCGGAGCAGGGAGCACTCTGTACCAGTATGATCTGGTTCCTCCAAAGGCCACCTTCTAGAAATGCTTAGAAGTACCCATAAAAATGTGACTTCATGTGAGGTTTGAGGACATGCATGCAGGATGGTAACCACTGGGCTGTTTAGCAAATTCCAGCTGCAGTTGCTCCTACTTGCAGCAATGACATTTACTAGGCTCATTTTACAGACAGACCAGAAAGAAGGAAACTCAACTCACTCGCTCCGTCCTTTCACTAACAACTAGATTCAGCAATCAGATTTTCTCATGGAAAAACAGATGGATCCGAGGCTGATAATGGAGGGCAGTTTCCATTAAGTTGCTGCTTTTAATCCAGCCTGTCCTCTTTTAGAAGAACATCCCCCACCAGTCGTGGCATGGAGCCCGCAGGGGCTGAAAGGGAGCATATGAGACCTGCACAGCCACTGCCCTTGCTGGGTGGGTAACAAAGTGCTCAGAGTACTCTGTTCTCTGAGGCACTGTGTACAAAACCCAGCGATAAGAATCCCTGCCTCATGGAGAGCACCTGTTAGAACTCAATGTACAAGACATGGGAAAAACTCCTGTGTGGTTCTTACCACGTGTTTTTTACATCACTGGGGCTCTCCAAGGAATGGGAAAGCTGGAAACTGTGTTCCTAGGAGGATGGAATGGGAAGGAAGAAATACACAGAATTACACGTTTTTCCAAACAGATCTGACACTGTAAATATCAATTTGGAGGATAAAGAATAATAAATATCAATTACCCTTTTAGAAAGTCATCTCATATCCTTTCAGCCTCTTAACAAACACTAGAGCTGCAAATCCTCAGGAGTGGTATGAGTAAGCTGTAAAGCCATCAGGTGATGTGATGCAATCTATTTTTTATATTCTTGCTGTCTGCCTTTCAAATTCACACTAGACTAATACGAAGACATTAGAGAGAAGAATTCCCATTAATGGACAAGGAGTCCGTCCTTTCCCAAAGCTGACTCATGTTTCTTTGCTGTGACAGACAGACTGTAAACCTCTCAGTGTCTCTCACTGCAGCTGCGTGTTCTTCAGGGTTTCAACCATCCATATCCGTAAACTTCCTTTTTCCATAATTCTGGACCAGACTGGAAACTGTGATTTGTGAAGCTTGTCCCTTTTCCCAGCACTGGAAGTCATTCAGCCCTTTCTGGCCAGCTCGAAACAAGGCTCGCTCTAGTTCATCCAGCCGAGCCACCAGCATCGATGTGTCTTCGTTGTAAGCATTCTGAGAGGAGTCCATGATACGACGAAAACGGCTAATAAACGTCTAAAAAGATAAGCAGAATTACTGACAGGTAAAGCAGAGGCTCCTTCAGATCAAATGCTAGCAGCGTGAGCTTTCAAGACAGGCATGCTGAAGCTGGAAGCTGTTCCCATCTGCCTGCAGCTGGCGAGGGGTCTGCCAGCTGCAGCCTGTTTGCACGCAGCACCTGTTAACCTGGGGTGTGAAGATAAACCATTTGCTCTCCCAGCTTGTGCAGGAAATATCTGATACCCTGGGTGGGAATTGAAATGGACTCAGTTTTGGCTGCTCTCTAGTGACAGGCTTGTGCAGTCCACAGGGTATAACACAATTACAATCTCTTCTGACTAGTGCAGGTGGAATGGATCTCACGCCATGGCAGCTGTTGTAGGAACTTACCAGCTGCAGCTTGTGAATGGACCAGAAGTTATGCTAAAGTCACTGAAACGCATTCAGCATGCTGGAAAAACACTAAAAGCACAAACACACACAGAAAACCTCAAATCTCTAATAAATGATATGTTAAAAAGCAGAAAGACATATTTAAAGATTTTACACCCAAATAGATTTAAAGATTTTATACATAAAATATAAGAAGAGAGGAAAAAAAGAGTCAAAACTCTTTGAAAACTGTACTTCTGTATTTCAGAAGCGGGTTTTAGAAACACATTTATTCTGTAACTCTCACTTTGGCTTTGTAAGCACCAGTTCTTGAATATTTGGGGGCGGGTTTTTTGGTGTGTGTTTTTTGTTTATTTGTTTTTTTCTATTTTATTGTCAAACAGCACAACTCCCCTCTTGTTTACTTTTAACAGAATGAAATCATACCAAGCTAAACTGGGTCTTTTGCTAAGATGAACATTAGCAGAAAGAGAAAAGATGAGGAAAGGTGTGGTCACCTCCTCAGTGCAGAAATCAAGCCTTCGATGGACCACTCCCAGTAAGCAGCAGTGTTTGAAAGCATCTCTGCACCAGCTTTTATAGAAAGAAAGGAAGGAAGAGGAAGAGAGAGGAAGAAAAGCCAACAGCAATCATCCCAGACTACTTAAGAGATCTGGCTGAAGGAAGCTCAGAGCTGTTAGTGGTTACCTTTAAAAGCTCAGGGTGAGAGTAAATGCTCAGAGAAGAGTTTGCAAAAGTCCGGAAACACACAAAGATGTTATCTATCTTTTAAAGGAGAAAGGGGAGATAGGGAGGAAGGAAGGATGAGCCAAGGAATTATAAATTCATCAGCATCAATTCCTGGAAACATACTGGAACAAATAAATAAGATGCATAAAACTCTGCAAGAAAATAAAGAGAAGTGTAACGGCCAGCATGGATTGGCCAAGAGAGTTGGGCAGACTGGGTTAGTTTCCTGTTGTGGCAGGATGCCAGTCAGGGGGCATTCTTGTAAGAGTTAGCTAAACTGCCCCGAGGTGGCTGGTAAAGACAATTGTTCAGAGTTCCTGTCAGGAAGAAAGAACATACTGAGTGGAGTTCTACCGGGATCTAACTGGAACTGAGCAGTATTTAACAATTTCATTAATGAGCTCACTAATGTATATCGATTAGATTAGCAAGCAACATGTAGGAATAGGAGGGATGACTGCAAGCACATTGTGGGGCAGAACAGTAATTCACAAGTGATCCTGACAGAATAGAAACATGGTCTGAAAACAGGACGTAATACAGCTGGGACTAACGCAAGGTTCTACATTAAAGCAGAAAGGAGAACTGTATGAATGCAGCATGAGGAATGATTGTCTGGATACACAGCCTGTACCATCTCACTGTGGACTGCAAACCAAACTCGTGTCAATGTCACACTATTAAGAAAAATGGGTATGCTGTGACACAATGAGTGTTTGATCATCATGGTCTAGAAAACCCACAGAGCAATCTTTTTGTTTTCAAGAGCACAAGGCAGGTCCTGAGCAGCAGAGCGTGTGCTGTTCCGGACACTGCCTGTCAAAGCAGAAGCAGATCAACTGGAAAAACACCAGCAGTGCACAGATCCGAGGTCAGGAAGCAAGACCCACAATGAGGTATCAAATGAATTGGGGACTGTTTATCCCAGTTTGAAGTAAACTAGTGTTCAAATACATAATAGCCTGATGCAGGAAGGGAAAGAATCATCTGTCCTCAGCATTTACTTTGTGTGAGACAAACAGAACAGAGCTTGTATTGCTGTGGAATAGATTTAGTGTAGTTTAGTTTAGGAAACCTCAGAAGACTAGGACAGTGAGGCACTGGAACAATTGCCCAGAACAGTGTGAAGTCTTATCATTAGAGAGCTTCAAAAACAGTTTAGAACAAATAAAAACAATAGAAGGCAAATTATTTAATCTGTACCCTTGCCACAAGGCAGAATTAAAATTGCATGTCCTCTAGACCTAATTTACAGGATTTTCTGAAAAAACATATTTACAGTGTGCAAACTCCAAGCTAAAATTCCACACCTGGATGAACACCTGGGGCTTGCACTGCCATCACTACAACCACAGAACCACTCCAATTGGAGAAGACCTCCAATATCACCTAGTCTAACCTTTAACCTGGTACTGGAATCCACCACTGAACCATGCTGCTAAGTTCTACATCTGCACGATTCTTGAAGACCTCCAAGGCTGGTGACTCAACCACTTCCCTGGGCAGCCTGTCCCAACACCACACTGCCCTTTGGGTAAAGAAATTTCTCTTAAGTTCCAACCTAAATCTCCCCTGGCGCAGCTCGAGGCCATCACTGGCTGCGTAGTTGCCTACAAGGGTCCTACACCAAGATCTAGGAATCCCTAACCAATTTATAAGTCACTTGGATTAAAACACGGTATTTTTCTGGAAAATCACTGAGTTCCTGGGCACAAGGAGATGGAAGAACATAAAGCCAAATTTCAAGGTTCGGTTCTAATACTCGCCTGCAGGATAGTCTGAGCTATCTCGGGGTTCTCCGGGTTGTCAAAGTTGAGGAGCTGGGAGCCGAAGCTGTAGTAGTAGGGCCCCATTTTGTGCAAATCCACCACGTTGGCGTCCGCGCTGAACACCGTCCTCCAGGCTTCCTTGTAGATCTTTGGCAGCTCCACCGAAATTATCCTCCTCTTGCTGTCGTGCAGCCCTTTAGCCAGCCACATCGGTATTTCCAGCTTCGAGCCCTGCGCAAGTGGGAAAAAGGCAGAAAAATAAATAAATAAATTAAAAAAAAAAAAAAGTTAAAACCTGCAGGACGCCCGCGCCTCCATTTCCCAGCGTGCCCCGCGCCCCCGCGCCAACCGCCCGCCATGGGCTACCCCGCGCGGGGGCTGCCGGGAGTTGTAGTCCCCGCCGCCCACTCACCTCCGGGATCGAGTCTCCCGAGCCGCCGGCGGCGCCTTGGCCCAGCGCGAAGGCCAGGCGGGGCAGGCTGCTCTCGGCGCGGCCCGGCAGCTTCTCCTGCGACATGAGGATGTCGTCCAGTGACAAGAAGTTCTCCTCGAGGCCCAGCCCGGGACCCACGGGGAAATACGCCTCGGACATGGCCGCCAGGGCGGGCGGCGGGGCTGTGGAGGCAGCGGCAGCCCCCCGGACAGCCGCGCATGCGCACTGCGGAGGCGGCCGAGCCCGCCCCTGGCGCCTCAGGATCGTAATGGCGTCCGCAGTGACTGAGGCACAGAACTAAATGTGTAGCAGTTTATTAAATCTTGTACTATTTGATCTTTTACTGAGAAATATAAAGCACAATACAGAGACTGGGAATTTGCAATGATGTACTTCCATCACTCGCACACCCTTTATGTACCATAGCAGTGTGTGCTGTAAAAACCAAGCAAGCCAACAGAGAAACGGCAGCTTTTTGTGAGCTGTGGTGTGAGGGATTTGTGGCTATCTAAATGCTGCTGGTTTATTATACGAGCACAAGAAACAGAGACCAAAAAGCAGAAGAAATGTGTGCCCATGTGTTTGTAAACGCGATGCCCCCACACTGCTGATTTTAGAACGTCCCTTTCCCCGTTATCAGGCGCGTTAAATCCTGACAGCAGTGCATGGTCCTGAAAAGAAAGCTCACTGATAAAGGTCATTTCTTGTACCGTGCTGAGTTTTTATCTACAGTAGAGAAAACAAACTAAATTAGAGTTAGCAACCTCAATTGTTTTACTATGTTGTTGTTGGGCATCAATGAGAAATGAAGTCTTTCTCTTTGAAAAACAAACTGTTCTATCTCTGCACATATTCCAAGTGAGTTACAGAGCAATTTCCAAAAGCTCTTTCTAAAGGGCAGTTCTGATAAAATTATAATTTGCCAAATTGGATTAGTAAAAATATTCCCTGTTCAATCAGGTTTAGGGAACAAATCGCTACATTAAATATAAAAGCTTGCACTGTGAGCTAGAAGAGAGAATAATGTAAATAGAGCCTGCTGTTTGTATAGGTTCCGAAGTCAGGCACCTGCAAAAAGAAGAAAATCACTGTTTCTTTGTATCCCAAAATGCCTCAGTCTGTAGTGTGTGATAGCGAAGGCACAGGGACCTGGAGAGCCTACGTTACTGAGCAAATTTGAAAGATAACACAAAGGAAAAGATGTTTGCGCTCATTGTAAAATCAGTTGAAGAGTTGTTCTTTTGTGAGAATTTAAAGAATTACAGGTGTTTGCCAACCAAAATTATATCACCCCTTTTTATAACATTTGTCTTCTCATCCTGAGAAAGTTACTAAGCAGGTTGTTATCCTTGAACGCTTGTGAATGAATCTTATTATAATAATATATCGTATCAGCCCAACATCCCAGACCATATTATATTTTCATACATACGATTTCAGAACCTCCCTGGAAGAAAAGGAATGGCCTGTGTCATAACCGAGCCTCCTTGTACTTGTGGATTTATAAACTGGAGACTTCAGCCTCCTGCTGCATTTGTATGAAGTCAAAACTTTTCATCTCATGAAGCTACGCTAACAGATCTGACACTGAACCTTTACAGACACAAAGAATAACAGAACCCTTTAATAACCAGAGTAAGGAAAGGAGTGAAGGTGTGTAAGAAGAAGAAAGGAAAACAGTTGAGAGAAAGCAGTGGAGGAGAGAAAAGAGGCAGGAGGGGAACGCAAATTCCAAAACCTGAGGAATAACAAAGCGAAATACTACAGAAGTAAGTTTCAGCTGTGATGGTTAAAACCGAAACCTGTGATATCTGTACAGTTGCTGAGACGTGTCATGACACCATGTGTCTCTGTGAGAGAGTCAGCTGATGCTGCCCTCTTGGGTAATTTAAATAGTGTTAAGAACATGAAGTAAGACAAATGAAAAACTGTGGGGATGTTGATGGGAGCAGCAGGGGAAGGGCTGGAGCAGGAAGTACCACTCCCTGTGATTTCTCCTCACCTTACATTTTAAGGTCAAAGTGAAAGAAAAAACATCACGGACCAAAGCATGCCACAAACTGAGGTTGATACTGAGCCTTTTGTCCCCATCCCTTAGGGTCTTCGCTGCTGTATGAGATTACAGCACGACTTGCCTTTCTTGTTTGTGCTTGTTATCAAGCAATCAGAAGCGCTGGCAGGGTTCCTGGCTGTCTTAAGTTGGGAGCCTCAGATGAAACTGCTGGCTTCAGTGAGCCAGAATCTCATTGACGGATCCTGCCCAAGGATCCAGCATGTCTAAGCAGCACTCAGGCATGCGGTGTGCACGCTGCTAAGTGGAGCTTCCTCTTTGGTGCTGTCTGGCTGACAGACACATGACGGCGTGTGTCATTGCCCTAAATCCCTGTTCTTTCTGATACTGCTCGTATCATTCCTTTCCCTCCTGGAACTTCCACTCGGGAACAAATTTGCATTTCCTAATCAGTTGAATTGCCTGTGGCAGTGGGAGTTCTTATTTGCAAGTAATGCCTATTGGATCTTTGATACAAGCTTTTGCAAGCCTTTGTTGTGCAAATGCAGGCGTATAACTCAAGTAAACCGATTGGCTTCAGTAGGATTACCCATAAGAGAGTTAAATGCTAAGTCATATGAATAAATACCACTCTTGAAGAGGCAAATTCTGCAATTTAGGACAACTTTAATTTTTAAAGAAAAAGTGGTTGCGGCATAAATCATCGGTTAAACCAATAAGATAATCAGTTTTCTGTTCAGCTTGTCTGCAAATGTGAGAGGTGGTTTTTTGCTTGTTTGTTTTTGTTTGTTTGTTTGCTTGCTTGTTTTGCAATCATACTAAGAATATATTAATATTTGCATCTCAGAGTATCATTCCTTCCTTAGAGGAATGAAGAAGGATTGTGTCACATGTTGCAGGTAGGAGAACAGCCACAGAACAAGCAAAGGGATTTAGGGTTACTGAGTATCCTACGGGAAAGCAAAAAACAGCATTTCTGGCTTCCAGCTTCTAGCCAGCATCTCCCAGACAGAAGTCAGCAATGTCAGCAAGGTCTCTGGCCAGCTGGTAATATTAATTTCAAAAATTTTAAGTACCTACTAAAAAGGAACACTGAAGTGATAAGATAAAATGCATGCTATAGTTGCTGTTGCAAACAGCATTTTTAACAGCCACAGTGAAAATAGAAGCAGTTCTAGAACTTTTCATTATTTTTTTCCTGGCTGTCGTTCACTGCATGAATTCCTGTTATCATGTGGGAGTGGATTCAGCAATTTCCAAGGCATTTTTAACTGCTGTGTTGTTCTTCTGGTAAGTGAAAAGTCACACTCAGATCAGCAGCAAGCATTTCAAGAAGGTTTCTTGTTTTAAGGAATAGTGCAATATTGCTAAAACTTCTTATGACATAGAGGGGAATACCACCAATATTGTTAGTTTTTCTTGCATTTGGAGTTTCCTAGATGGTAATTTATTATTGTTTTTGTGTAGAAATGTGGAAAAACAGTAATTGTGATAGCTGCCTTCAGCAGTTATGAAATTAAGGCACAGGACTGTATATCTGCAGTCAGTTCCAAAGGAGTGAGATCTCTGCAACTTTTGATGTCTCCGGGTGACTGCAGGTGCTATAAGTAGAACACTCACATGATACGGATGAAAGAAAAATGCTGTGCTTGTTCTTGAGAGGGAGACCCTTTCCTACCTGAAAGGTACACAAGCAACTGAGCAAGGCAATGAATCCTTTCTACTGTATCAAACATTACGCATCAGCAGTTTTCTTTTTGTTTTGTCTCACGATTCCCAGCAAATGGCATAAGGAAACAATGGAGAGTGCCTTTCCAATTTAGTTGCATGCAGTCTAACTCCATTGAACAAAGGGTACTCAATGCCCAGAGACAAAAAAAAAAAAAAAAATATGATCTAATGAATCAATCTTTGTGCATAGAGAAAAGCAATTGCTTTGCAGAAATTACATGAAAAGTAGAAACTGATGACTTGTTGGAAAGGAAGATAGGAGGAGGGGGAGGGAGTTGCTCTATGAGCCTTACATTCTAAATGAAATAATGATGGTGGGAGCTTTTTTCTCAGCTATCACGGGCATCTCTGTTAAAAGCAAACTAAAGCAAGGTAAAGCAAGCTAGAGCTAAATTTGCAAATTTTACCCCTGAAAAAAAAATAGCTTTTGTCTTTCAGACTAAAATAAGCAATTGTAATATCTGATTAGGTATAATTTTAAGATTTTCTTCTATATGGTAATGTCTTCTTTGATGGTAATTTTTTCCTTCATTTTAGGTTCTCACTCTTATTCTGTCTGGAGAGATTTTTTTTAGTGAGTTGCTGAAAACAAAGGCAACATTACTTATTTCTTGGGATCTAAGAGCTTGAGCTCCAAACTGCAGGGAGAGTCCATCTGTATCATCTCACTTTGTGCAATCAGTGAGTTACCCAAACAGAAACAACAACAATTTTTCCACTGCCTTAATTCGTGGTTTCCTGTGTCTAGATTTTTGTTTGTGTGTTTGTTTTCCTTTATCCACTGTGTTTTCTGTACCAGTGACCCAAGTAGCTGGAGAGGATGGCACAGGCACCTGTGCTTCAAGTTTTCAACTGCCTGTGCTTTTTGAACTGTGCTTCCAGTGCTACCACATCTCTCCAGCCCCTCTTCCATCAGCACTGGATAAGCAGAGTGCTGGAAATTCAGGCTTCTGGGAAACGGAGTCTCCCTTTGCTCTGTCCAAGTGTGAATGCTCCCATGGCTCCTGAGTATAGCTCTATCCACCATAATCTTTGAATACATTAAATCCAGTGCCTCTCAGCTGCTGCTCTTCGTTTCTGTGGATATCTGGTGAGACTGTCCCACATTTCTGAGGCATGAATAGGAAAAGATCCAGTCTCTTCTCTGATCACATATGGGAAGTGCAATCTAACGGCACCTGCTGGAGCACGCTGCATCATGTCAAAAAGCAGAGAATCTTGCCCATAGCTTGTGAAGAGTTTTTTACATCCTTCAATGTAAAAAGTGCCATACAAATGTCATGTTACACTCGATGTGAATTTGATTAATATAACAGGATTATAATCAGAATTAGCACACCAAAAATGTCCCAGTGGGAAAGACTATTAATGCAGTAACAACTAAGAAGACCATGAGGAGCAGAGCAAAACAGTGCTTCTTGTTCATATTCCTGGCATCTTTGGGAGACGGAGAGGTATCTGCTGCAAATTAGAGGAAACTA